TATTGGGCCTACATGCCTTAAAACTGCCGTTTGTTCTGTTGTTGCCACTACTTCTGACGATGGACTCCTGTACGAGTCCGAAAGCTGAGGACAATAAACAAAGTGTTCCCATGCTGGAATCGTTTTCTTCAAATACACCTTAATGTTTTAGTCCCAAATACTAACTTATCATGTTTTTACACTAGTTTTTGAGAATTTAAATTAACGTTTCCGTAAAGTTATGCATCTAACTTCAATTTCTTAAATTTCTCATGTACTTTTCGGGAATGCAAATCAACGTTAATTAATTTTTTATTACTTCTGGATTTTCAGGGCTATAAATTAGCGTTTCCGTTCTAGGTTTCAAACTTATCTCATCTTATTCAATTTGATGGGCATTTTGATTTCATTTTGACTGGTGTTTTCGTGAACAATGCTAGCGTTTTGTCGTAAAACCTTATTTTTTTAACTCTTTTCCTGACATACATTTCAGGCGATAGTTAATTTCTTTCGCCATCGATCCCATTCTATTCCTAATTTGTTTGACCTCTAACATGTTTGTGGCCTAAAAATCACGTTCTCCGTCTTAAATGATTAATTAGTAGCCTTTTTGGGGGTAAAACCACGACTTATCTCAGAATCTGCAAATGCCTGTTGCTGTTGACTGCCTTCCATCGCATTGACTCCAGTGTTCAATTTGCGATATGACCTTGAGCGTCCCACAGGCGTTCCCATTGGCCTAGGAGGAGTGCCCCCCCCCCTCGTTAGCCAGCCCTTGCCGCGTTGGTAGCATCTGCCTCCCACCTACCTATACTTCCTTGTACTTTCCACTTAGCGCTGGCTTTTTGACGTTTTATGTGCCGAGGCCGTAGTTCTGCATTTTTTGAATTATTTTGAGATTAATTTGACCATTTTATGCTACTTAGAATGTGCCGTACCCGTAAAACCTCTGTTACCACCGTTCTCGTCTTACAGGAGACCTTGGTGCCGCGCCCCCACTACAGGTGGAGACTGTACTGTTGTTGAGGTTTCTAAAACAAAGTGTGCACCTCATTGTTTGCCAGAGGGAGTTTTGAATGAACCACAGCGCGACTGAGAGCAGCAAAACTTCGCTGTTGACAAAAATTTTGATCGCGTCAAGGAAACAGATGGCTGGGGATGAACTGGGGGCAAGAGAACCCGTCATGCAGAACATGCCATTGTGATATCTATCTGGGCTTTGAAGCAGTGCAGTGGAATCTGTCATTAGGTTTCCGATGAGGGTGGAGGAATGGCCAACGAAACCGGGTGGTAGCCAAAATAAGTTCATGCAAAGCTGCGTTGGCAGTCATAAGACTGACTTGAAATATCTAGAAGAAATTTTGAAAGCTTTGAATAAAAGACCCAGGGGAGTTTTTCAGTGGAAGCAACCCTTAAATTAAGGGAACACATTCTCGAAATTATGGATATGCATTGCCTTGGAAGGCAGACAAAAGTAAGAGTTTAGTTCTGCCGCACTTTGGATGCGCAGCCAGTCCTATGATCGAATATGAAGCTGCAGATAACTGCTGGCGGAAGCGTTTTAAAATGTCTTGCAAGTGAGCGAAAAAAATCATCCGTTACAGCTATTCTCCTGCCAACATTGATCTGGCGGTTATCTGTTGCCTACAGACAGCATCAGTGATTATACTGAAAACAATTCGGCAAGGTTAATATGCTGTGTCATTTACGATCCAAATTACGAATGACCTAACTGTAGGACAGAACAAATGCTCCAAAGTAAAATCGGTTTATTACATGTCGCGTGAGAAAAGAGATAGTGGACCCCATTTCATTTGCGACGCTGAATGTTACATAGCATTCAAAACATTTTAACTTCGAATTTGAATCTTGCTGCCATCGAGGGCAGAGTGGCGGAATAGCGTGTTTTGTTTCCTTAATTCACATGACAAAGGATTTCCTATGGAAAAAGTCCAGAAATGAAGAAGCACTTGGAAGTTCGAAGGAAAATTGACAAGACTTACATGTCAGACCTTAGTATTTTTTGCAAGCAAACCAATCGGGCAATTGGCGCATTCTCCCAATGTCATTAAAATCAGAATCACCCAGTCTAACCGCAGACCCAACATGGGGCACGGACTTCCATGCTACTGAGTCGGATATCAGGCCGCACTGATGTGATCAAATCGCAGCTTAGACCGGTTGGGGATCGTGACACCTCTTTCCCTTGGTCTCTTCCAAATACGCTTTTTTGCATGAAAAAATATATTCTACATTACCAAGTATGTACGCATGTAGACCCGACGGAGTCAGATGCGGGCTGGAAAATAGAGGAACGTCAAACAAATTTCGATTGAGCTGTATCGTGTGCCTTTCTGCCGAAAGGCGATCAGCGTACGATAGAAGACTGAGGCGGATGAAACGACCCACATTATTTTAATCAAAGTAACTGCGCAAAAATCATCAATCTCTCTTGATTTGAGTGCCTGGCCCTCCAGTTCGCTACTTTTACTATCGTATTATGATGTAAATAAAATTGCCACACGAAATGTGCCCTTAACTGGATGCTCTGCGCTTAGTAGAAGATGCCGTCCCGGATAATTTCTGAAAGTAAACCCTAGGTCATGCACTGCATTTGCAGGTTTCAGCCTGACCGAAGGGACAGAATTTAAAGACATTACGGAAGATGATCCATGCTTCGCAACCGCTATAATTCCACTAAAACTTCGAGGCTGTTTTCCGTAGCAAGTTCTTTTCCTGTTTAAACATTGCCTGTATAACAGATGAGACCTTTAGACACAACGCGCTCTCAAAGCTTGGTTCAACATATATCGAAATCAAAGGAATGCCAGGAACAAACCGTGTATAAAAAATATTTATTTTGGTCTCAATCTGGATATTTTGGGAAAAATATGGCGCATTTTATTTGTTGTTAGATCATATGTGGACGAAAATTTTGCGAAGAACAAACTTTAAGCCAAAACGTTCTTATACGCCACATTAGACGAGCGGAAACTCGCTATATACTGAGAGATATCTCCCGCATTGACGCCTTATTTAGGTGAGGATGTTGAGCATTCCGCGGGAACGCAGTAAAACCCTTCCATCAACTTGAGGAGTCGACCTGAAAAAATTCATCTCGAAGGATTTACCCCAAGTTTGTGTATTAGTCTCTGAGGGGAATAAAAAGTTAAGCGATTTCTTCCCAACACTGCAACTCACAACATAACTGCCTGCTGTACTTTCGACTGGGAACACGGACAGTTTGTGAACCCGAACCAGTTGAAAGAGAATACAATCATATTGTGCATGACTGACTGACTAGACAAGTAATTTAAGTTTCTGTCAGGCACTGAACATGTAGTATTCTGGCAATGCGCTACTCAGCATACTCCCAGGAAGTCCAGTAATATAATCCGTTTGTCCCTGCGAGACATTTGTCCCTCACATTTAATCACCTCGAACTCCCATATGTGTTACTCCGGACACGTTTCACCTCGTTTTAAAACGGTAACAAACACTGCGATCTAATCTTCATAATCTTGTTAGTTTACTGAATTGATAGCAATAGTATGGTGCCCAGAAGACGATCGTTAACCAAACGTTAATATTTCGAAACAGCGGTTGTCTCATTCAATTTCAAATTGTTTAATTTCCATTCATTCTCCGCGAAAGCGGGCTATACATTTCGGGATGTAATTTCAAGACACTTGACTCTATTATTTTTCTTTTACTCTATCTGGCGTATTCTGCTAGACTTCAAATTTATAGTGAGCAACCGATCTCATGAAATTTTGGCCGAAATTGTGAAATGCGTTTAAGATTACGAAGAATTGCCTATGTGGAGCTGTAAAACTGATTATCCTGCGGCATAATCCTATGGCATTTTTGACTTGCAAAGATGTTGGCTTTTGGACGCACTTTTTTTCAACCTCCTGCAGAAACCACACTCGGCAAGAGTGACTAATTAAGCAGCGGGCATTTTTCACATTGATTTTCGATGTTCATATAAATTCACACCCATTTTATAGAAAACAGTGCAGTACAGTACAGTGCAGTGCTTGCATTTTACTCGTTTGATAGACGATAACATCTTGTTCACATGTTATACCCTTCTAAAGGTTATCTTTCTGTATTGATAAAGTTATTAATTATCGGATTTTTGAGATCTTGCGATGTCCGTTCATACAGCATCACAAATGTGCCTTTGCCAGTGCTCCTAATGCAATCTACAACGCATTCCGTTTCCACTGCATGATTTGCTGAACCCCATATGGTACTTTCTTAAAGGCATAAAGGAATATACGATTCCCCTTAGGCACCTTGCAGACTGAAGTCGCTGAATACTAGTGCAAAGGCTGATCTGGTTCAGAATTATTCGGAAATTGAGAAACCTTTTCAAAATCTAAATATACACTTTACTTGGGTATATAATGCGAAGAAAATGTGATTTTCTACCAAACGAGTAAAAGAAAGCGTATTTTGTGCTAATTTCTATAAAATGTATTTGAATTTATATGACCATCGAAAATCAATGTGAAATATGCACGCTGCTTAAATAGCCACTCTTACCGAGTGTGGTTTCTGTCGGAGGTCGAAAAGAAGTGCGTTCAAAAGCCAACATCCTGACAAGTCCGAAATACCATAGGATTATGCCGCATGATAATTAATTTTACAACACCACCTAGGCAATCCTTCCTAATCTAAAACATATTTCGCAATTTCGGCCAACAGTTAATGAGATCGGTCACGCACCGTATCCCCCAGAGTAGACGATATACCCAGCCAAGATGAGCAGCAGTAGCGCCAGACTCAATTCTAAGCAAGAAAAAGAAAACTACACTAATCTTTTGATTCTCTGGGTCGAAGTAGTAGTCGCCCTCTAAAGCTGAAACGTGTCTTTCTTGACTGCATCTACGTAATCATTTGTTCCAGGTTTAACGCAGTTTTTATTCAGGAATGTAGAACAGCAATTACATGACAAATCACACATCAATGAAAGGTTTGGCACGAAATCTTCCATGCAAATTAGACAGAATGCTTTAGTTACGGGTTAGGATAGTTGTTTTGATCCAGTCGAGTGCAGATCCGGTCAGGGCATGAACCGTGTACTTGCCTGTACAGTTAGGGGCACCGAAGGAATCTACGGCGTAGAAAGTCCATTTGCTCTTCATAAAACAGTGCAGTCCTCCTCCGCTGTCGCCCAGACATGTGGGCTGAATTTGTCAAAAAAGGGAATTATTAAACTGTGCATATTTATTCTGTACATAATGGTAGTGTGATTCTTACCCCATACGCAGTGTCGGTGCAAACGTGGAGCATTTCTTTAACTAAGGAATGCCTTTTCTTGCAGTCCGATAGTTTCACAATTGGCGTTTGTATTTCCATTAACACATTCGGTTGCTTCCAGTTAGGTTGAAGTGGTGGAATCAGTCCCCAGCCAGCAAGATTGCAGAAGGTTCCGGCATCAAATTGCATTCCTTCCTTAGGGAGGCATGCGAATTCCGCATATTTTGCTTCGTAAAGGAAAGAATGAAAATCGCCACGCAGATTGAAAATTTTGTTGCGAAATACTTGATGCCCTTAATGACATAATACATTTACGTTGCGTCATCTTTACTAGACTCTGATGGATTTATTGAACAGTCTAATCTCTCACAGCAAAGGCGCTTTCAATTTTTCATGCGAAATTACGGTGCATGTTAAACGCCAGGGACGTAAATCAAAGTGGTTATAATTTATCTGTACTCATGCCGCGAACATTTACCTAGGTTATCGAGATCGAAATCTGTCAGTCAAACTGTAGCTCTGGAAATTAAGTAATTATCTTATAGTTTACATCTAGCGGTGGGGGTTAAGAACCACATTCTGCCTTTTCCGATGATCATATAGTCATGGCTGCATTGCCGAACTACTTTTCCTACGGTCTAAGACTTTGTAAGTGCTATAGTTGGTTAGCATGATGCTTCCTCAAAGAAATTTGTGTTGAATTCTAGTGGAGTAATTAGTCTTGCAGGTAAATTTGCGCTTGCTTCCTATTGTTTCAGTTCCGGTTTTGTTTGGGAAACAAGTCTCAAATGTGCATGTGCTTGATCGTGAACGCGCCTACTGTGAAGTAAGAGCAAAAGTGGAGTAAGTTACACTAACGTAGCGAAATTCATAAGTAATGAGTAAGCGTACAGCGTTTCACAGTTCGATTCAGTTTCAGAAGTGCAAGATCACAGCCATTGCCTCGTGCATCTCGTGGGTAATCTGGATGAACGACAATGTGTTTTACTCGAACGTTGAATGTCGGAGGTCCGCCCCGTGTGTGATCATGGTCGCCTATGCGGACAGCCAGTTTAGTACCGTTGACATCGCCGTGGTGGAAGGGCTGGCCGCGGGGGATATTGACGCACGGATAGGCCAGATCAGCACAGTGAGCGGCTGTCAAAACCCACGTAGGTGAAATAAGAGTTCCTCCACAGAATGGGTGTGGACCATACGCCGAGCTGGAAAGTCCAACCTAGTGAAATATCAAACAAAGCTGCCGTACAGATTTTCCGCTCTGTCTGTTGACTGCAGTTGGTAAAATATTGCATTACATAATCCGGGCAAGGTCGACCAATTTCGTAAAGTGAAATGTCGTTTACAAGGTCAAGCAAACTGCGTAAATTCAATTAGAGGAATAGCGTTCTAAACTACATAATACCCAGACTTTGACGCAGAGCGCATGGTATTTGAAAGTTAGGAGATACTTTGTGAATGCGGTACATGTTCGGTTGAAGTCCATGGGGTATCGCGAGAGTTCGTAAATGTTCATATGTAGGTGCGTTGTTTTCGCAGAAGATTTATTTTAGTTTGCTATTTCCGACGTCTAAATAGCAAAAACGTATCTCAAAGATGCACAACGTACAGATCGCGCGAAATCAACGCCCCAAAGTACTCTGACCATGGGGTATTTCAGGGGAATAATAATGTAATTTACTGCCGTAAAGCACATGTTTCCGTGGATACATGTTTGCTGGAGTCCGAGCCGTGTATAATGTTGGCCTGCAAACGTAAGATCGACTTTTGCCAGCCAGCTGCTGACAGGAGAAAAGGTTGTCAATTGGAGCAAACTTGCATTGATCGGTCGAACGAAATGACGAACAGGCGTCGAAACCCACGTAGTTGAGCTGGAAATAACTCTACAGCAAGCAACCGAACCATGTGATAAACTGTAGAGTTCGGTTTAATGAAAACACAAAAGAGAATTCCAATGGTTAGTTCCTAATAAACAGTTTGTGTTTACAATCACTGACTGATCTTATAAAATGTTGGTGGAGATTCAAGAGTATGGTTTCGATTAGGAAAGGTCAGTCACATGGGAGATATGTGCGGAAATATTTTTTCTTGCACATATCTGGTAGGAAATCACACCTTTAAATTTTATACCCGAACTAATGCTGTCTTAGGTCTTAATAATTTTCTAAGGGCAAGGTTTTCTAAAAATGCAATGCCCATTTCAGTATCCTCGTATCTATACGCCTACCATTATTCCTCATACAGTATGCAACACAGTGCGCGTCCACTGTATATTTTTACGAAACACCCAGGTCGCATTCATAATGGCATACAGGGGTGCATCCGCTTCTGGAATGAAAATCGTCAACATACATGCAATGGCAGATATGGTTCACAACCACTTGGGAATGGAAAACACTTTGGAAACCCAAAATACCCTTCCTTTGTGCACTGTCCTTAAAAATAAGTGCTTTTCTGTCAAACAAGTATAAGAAGAGAGTGTTTTTGTGCATGTTATTACCTTATAAAACGCATTTAAATTTATAAGGGCATAGAAAATCAATACAAAAAAGTCCTTCTACTTTAGTAGCCACTTTTGCTGAAAAACGTTTGCTGGTGACCGAAAGAACGGGCATTTCAAAGTCAACCTCCTGATATGTATGACGTAGTTCGGATTTACGTTGCATGATAATGAGTATTACAAGCCCACTTAAGCAATCCTTCTTAATTGAAAACGCATTTCGGAATGTCGGTTAACATTCTAGGAGATTGGTCGCTGGCTGAATTTAGGCGTTTTGCCATAGTATTCTAACGATCGTGGGCGATTTAATGATGTGAACGACAAGTTAAAAGCCAAACAAGCTGCGTAAAATGTATTACAGTTTACGCGTTGTAAGCTAAATATAATTTTATCAAATAAACTTGTCACAATGGGTGTGAAAATTAGCGAGAGCCGTACTTCTCTAGCTTTTTAAATATTTGACATGTACAAGTGGATCCCGTTTAGCTTTTGAAGGCGTTTAACTTCTCATTACCACACATGGTGTATTTGCGTTCACTGACTTTAAAATAGCAACAAGGAGTGAAATTTAAGGAAACGTAAATTTGTCCCCTGCCAGTTTCATTGACTTACGTGCCACGGCCAGCTGTTTGGTATGGCTTCAATTTTTTTTCCATTATAATCACCAGGTGCCCTCAGGGGAGCTGGGCGTTTTCCGCATTCGACAGGCAGCCCGTTAGCTAGAATCACATCTTCGCCTGGAACGTAAAACACTCGCGTATAAGCAACCAAGGAAGGGAAGCAGTTATCAAAGGTTTATCAGTTCAACACGCCATGTTACGGAAACTATCAAAGAGTCATTTCTGAGAGGATGCAACAACAAAACGATTGCGGCTACGTTCTAAGTTAGAGTGCGTAAATCGAACCGCAATGTCACACTATTAATTTTAATTATTTACTGAACAATATCGACTTGTACCTTGAACAGTGATCCACAGAAAACAGGCTCCGAAGATGCCCACTGGAAGCCACATCTTGCGACGTTTATCAGAAGCGCAGGCAAATAAAACGAAGGAGTTCTTTCTCCTGGGGCAGTTATTGCAAGTCTATACTAGAAGATGTTTTGACAATGTTCTATTTGACCAATGACTGAAAAGGAAAACAGGATTTCCAAAAAATACCAATCTGAAAGTTCTCAGCTAAGTTTCCAGACCAGTTGGATTCTTTAAGTAAATGTTTTCAGAAGCACGGTATACTTCAGAAGTCAGAATACATCATTTGTTGCAGAAGGATGGGATGACACACTGTGTGGGTAATTCCAGTTTCTCGTCTGCATGTCTGAGCAATTAACTAAAGTTAAGAGGGAGTAGAAAGTACACAGCAGGATAGAGCGTGATATAGGCAGTATGTTATTACCGGCAAGGACAAGGGAGACTGGCATGGCCATTTCTGGCATATTAGCCGTCGTCAGCCAGCCATACCCAAACTCGAAGGGTAAAACACTCGAGCCTCGAACTCGCGACCTGTTAGTTAGATGTCCTTACCTCTGGCCACTGGGCCACGAGCCTGTTGGCCTGCCGGTTTCGATCGGAATATACAATGGAACGAGTGAGTTCCGTAAGAACGATCAGTGAGCGTCCCCTGGCATTGTATTTTCCTGATCGAAACCGACAGGGCAACGGGCCCGTGGCCCAGTGGCTAGAGGCGTGGACATCTAACTAACAGATTGCGAGTTTGAGTCTCGGTTGTTCCACAATTCGGGGTTGGGTATGACTGGCTGACGACGACTAATAAGCCAGCGATGATCATTCCAGTCTCCCTCATCTATGTCGGTAATAGCATACTGCCTATATACATATACATATATTAAGGAAGATGGAATTCTTTGGCAAACAGTAAAATTTATTGTGTTAAGGACGGATTCAAACTGACAGCCAATCCCGAGAAGATAACTTTAACCAATCATAGAATCCTTTGTCAGACTCGGTCTAGAAGTTACTTATTTTTGCACGTCCGTTGTCTGAAAACGAGCTGCGGAACCAGTCTCGATAATTTACACAATAAAGTTTACTGTTTCCCAAGGAATTCCATCTTCCTTATTATTATTATTACTCCACTTCTCCCATATGAACTCAGCTGAGTCCCAAACGCATCCGACAGGGGATGTGTGTACAGCGGTTAAAGAACCAGCCTTGATTGCTTAAAACCTCCAACGCGGATTTTGGATTGCAGCTAGCTCGCAGCTATGCGGCAGTCTGCATGGGTTGATAGTATTTAGGATGTAAAACGAAACGCAGCCGTTTGCGCACCATTTTTTGCGGGCAATGCAGACGAGGTCAATGACTGTTGTTATTTCGACACCGGTCCTCGACGAGGTGAGGGAGAAAGGCACTGAGCAGCCTGACATCCCTCTCCCGACACATCCTGCACGAATAGCAGTAGGTATTCTCAGTGCTCATAGATACTGTGAGACGCTGTATAGAACCTACCTCTGTCGATGAAAGCCTGTTTGCCTTTGAGACGTCAGACTACTAAACCTATGGTTTCCGTGATCGCCTCTTGTGACAGTTCGACAATCGCAAACGACAGGGCCCTCACGCCATGCGAAATCAGAGACGGTGACTTGCGCATGGAATAGCTCACAGTGATAGTAGACTTACTCTGAGTTTACCATCCTCACTCCCCCCTTACCCACCTGAACCCGGTGTCAAGACAATGTTAAGGGGAACGGGGGCGGCATGGTGCGCATTGGCCGAGGATGTGTAGCAGTTCGCGTCTCCTCACCCTCCGCCTTTGTCATGCTGCCCTCCTGTCCGCCTCACACTCCATGTCGATGCGCTGCTGGGCCGCGCGAGTGCTCGAAGCCAATCAACGCTGTCCCCACTCTGATTGGCTGACGACGTGGAGACAACTAAGGGCGCACACACGTGCTAACAAAACACCTCGAACGCGGACACAGACAACAGCTTGCTTGGAGCGCGCTCGCGGCGACTGCCTACAGGGCCCTTGTTTACGCACTTCCTCAGGCAGTAAAGGTTGTCCAACTCAAACCGTCTTCCCTGACTTTTGATTGGGAATCTTTATCTTGTCGACCACACGACTTTCGACAATTGGTGACTGCTTGCGAACAGCAATCTTTCTCCTTAAGCTACGGTAAAGTCAGGTGTTGATAATGGACAATTTTCCACCGCAAGTACAGCATATTTTGGAACCCGCCTTCGGCATTCTTTCGGCCACGCAACTTACTCAAATGGCCGATCGGCTTATGGAGATGCGCGGTTTTTCCAAGCCGTCTATTTCAGCACTCTCAACTCCCTCAACTCCTCCTGCGTCTTCCGTTTCGCAGTTAGAGATTGAGCTCAACAAGCTGGCCGATGATATAGCCGCTCTCCACAAGCCCACAGTTTCTACCTCATCTCGGAGCCAACCGAAGCCGTCCACCCCGCATGCCCAATCTTTTCATTCAGCCCGTCCAAACGCAGCTGCCACCTGCTGGTACCACATCACCTTCGGTGCTAAAGCCCGTCGCTGCGTCTCTCCTTGCTTCTTCACCTTCAAGCAGAGCAAACGGGTAAAACCGGCTAGCCCGAAGGTCAGTGCAGCCAATCTTTCCGACAGCACTAACCCTGGTCACACATTTTACGTCCGCGACACCAGGAGTAGCAGACGTTTCTTGGGTGACACTGGTGCCCAACTAATTGTCATTCCACCCACACCAGCTGATCGTCGGTGCCCCAATCCCGGTCTTTTCCTACAGGCCGTCAACACATCGCCGATTACCACATTTGACACCTGCTCCCTCTCTCTGGACATCGGTCTCCGGCGCCTCTTCCCTTGGGTCTTCGTCGTTGCTGACATCCCCTGTGCAATACTCGGTGCAGATTTCCTCGCCGCTTTCGATCTTCTGGTCGACTGCCGTCAGTCATGTCTACACGACAAGACCACCAACCTCACTGTGCGGGGTATCTCTTCCTCCGACGCCTCCCGTCATCTTGCTGTCTTGGACCCTGAACCCGAGAATCCATTTCGGCAACTCCTCGCCAAATACCCCGGCCTCACTCGTCCCAACTTCAACGTTTCTACTCCACCACATGACGTTGTTCCCCACATTCGGACCATCGGCCCTCCCGTGTTTTCTTGCCCCCGCCGTCTCGTGCCGGCACGTCTTGCTGCCGCCAAGGCCGAATTCGAGCACATGCTTCAAATGGGCATCATCCGTCAGTCTGAAAGCCCATGGGCCTCACCCCTCCACATGGTTCCAAAGGCCGCCACTGGTGACTGGCGCCCCTGCGGTGATTACAGGGCCCTGAACAACGTTACTGTCCCGGGCCGCTATCCTGTCCCACATCTTCAGGATTTTGCCGGTGCCCTATTCGGCAAGTCTGTATTCTCGAAGATCGATCTGGTCCGTGCTTTCCACCAAATTCCCATAGCCCCAGAGGACGTTTCGAAGACGGCCGTTACCACCCCGTTTGGCCTCTTTGAGTTCCTGCGCATGCCGTTTGGACTTCGAAACGCCTCCCAGACCTTCCAAAGGTTTGTAGACAGAGGGCTTCGCGGCCTACCATTTGTCTACACCTATATCGAAGACCTTCTGGTAGCCAGCTCCACCACCGAAGAACACATGGAACATCTTACAACGGTGATTGATCACCTTAAACAATTTGGCGTTGTTCTAAACCCGTCCAAGTGCGTCTTCGGTGTGCCTCCATAGAATTTCTCGGTCATCTGGTCGACTCCCACGGCATTCGGCCTCTTCCTTCAAAGGTTGCCGCCATTCGGGACTTTCCACCCCCTACCTCGAAGCGTCAATTGCAACGGTTTCTCGGCATGGTCAATTTTTACCGCCGGTTCCTACCGAACTGTGCTGATCTCATGTTGCCGCTCACCAACATGCTTTCTGGTCCCAAAGGTCCCCTCGAGCTGACTGGTGAAGCACTGACTGCTTTTGAGAGAATCAAGAATTCCCTTGCTGGTGCCACCTTACTCACACATCCCGCTCCCGAAGCTCAGCTGTCTCTGATGGTAGATGCTTCGACCGTAGCCGTAGGTGCAGTTCTTCAACAACACCTTGCTGGTTCGACTCAACCACTTGCCTTTTTCTCCAAAAAGCTCTTACCAGCTGAGACACGCTACAGTACCTTTGGCCGTGAACTACTTGCCATTTACCTGGCTGTGAAGCATTTCCGGCATTCCCTTGAAGGTCGTGACTTCACCGTTTTCACTGACCACAAACCGTTGACTTTTGCACTTCGTTCCCACACTGACAAACTAAACCCCCGGAAAATCCGCCAACTGGACTACATCTCCCAGTTTACCTCAGATATCCGCCACATCGACGGGTCACGCAATGAGGTGGCTGATGCACTGTCCAGGCCCTCCATTGCTCATCTTCAGCTTTCACCCGGCATAGACCTCGCTGAGATGGCCACTGAACAACGCCGTGTCGGTCCACCCTGTGATGAGGATGTTTCCGAACTCCAACTTCGGGAACTACCACTGACAACTGGTAACGGCACCATCTTATGCGACGTATCCACCCCTTCCCATCGTCCATTTGTGTCATCATCTCTCCGCCGCAAAGTTTTCTCCTCCCTGCACAATCTGTCGCACCTTGGGAGTCGAGCAACCGACAAGCTGGTTTCCGACCGCTTCGTCTGGCCTGGCATGCACAAGGACCTCAAGGCATGGACACGGGCTTGTATCGCCTGTCAACGGAGCAAGATCCAGCGGCACAACAAGGCCCCCATTGGCACCTTCCCTGGTCCTGGTTCAAGGTTCAGCCACGTTCACCTGGATATTGTAGGCCCCCTGCCTCTGTCTAATGGTTGTTACTATCTCCTCACCTATGTGGATCGGTTCACTCGGTGGCCTGAAGCAATTCCCCTGCCTGACATTGCTGCTCCAACGGTGGTCAAGGCTTTTTTCAGTCGTTGGGTTGCTATCTTTGGTGCACCCCCCATAATCACGACTGACCGTGGTGCCCAGTTTGAGTCTAGTCTCTTCCGGTCTTTACTCTTCTTTTTAGGCTATACTCGCATCCGCACTACAGCCTATCATCCGGCAGCCAAAGGGATGGTCGAGCGGTTTCACCGCCAGCTGAAGGCCACCCTACGCGCCGCGGCCGATCCGGAGAACTGGACGGACCACTTTCCCCTGGTCCTCTTGGGCATCCGCTCCGCTCTCAAGCCGGACCTTGACTGTTCCGCAGCCGAACTGGTGTTCGGCACTACCGTTCGACTTCCCGGTGAGATGATCTCGCCAACCCCACAAGGTGCGGTTGAGGATCCCACCAACATCCTGCATCGCCTCCGGCAGTTTATGCGGACACTTTCTCCGGTTCCTCCCAGGTCCTCCGCCTCTCCGTCTTATCTCAAGAAGGACTTGGCAACGTGCTCTCACGTCTATCTCCGATGTGATCGAGTCAGCCGGCCCCTGGAACCACCCTACAATGGCCCCTTCCGAGTTATCTCTCGTGGGATGAAGAACTTCCGCGTCCAACGCGGCACTCGCGAGGAGGTCGTGAGCGTGGACCGTCTCAAAGCTGCCGTCCCGGACACTCCTCCGGATGAGCCCTGTGGTCCCCTACCCCCCTCTCCGCCTCTCCGACCCTCTATCCCTACGTCCCGTATACTTCCTCTGCCCTCATATCCACAGCCCCCAACTGCAAATACCCCTTCATCAACCAACGACACTGTAACCGCGAGCCATACTCACTCTGCTCCTGTGCCCCCTGTATATATCACCCGTAGTGGACGCCATGTTCATTTTCCTGACCGTTTGATTACTCATGTTTTTTAGACACCCACAACTCCTTCGGCGCCGCTACGCGCCACCTTCGGTCTAGCCGGGGGGTACTGTAGCAGTTCGCGTCTCCTCACCCTCCCCCTTTGTCATGCTGCCCTCCTGTCCGCCTCACACTCCATGTCGATGCGCTGCTGGGCCGCGCGAGTGCTCGAAGCCAATCAACGCTGTCCCCACTCTGATTGGCTGGCGACGTGGGGACAACAAAGAGCGCACACACGCGCTAACACAACACCTCGAAGGCGGACACAGACAACAGCTTGCTTGGAGCGCGCTCGCGGCGACTGCCTACAGGGCCCTTGTTTACGCACTTTCTCAGGCAGTAAAGGTTGTCCAACTCAAACCGTCTTCCCAGACTTTTGATTGGGAATCTTTATCTTGTCGACCACACAATCTCGACAGATGCTAATCAGCCCGCCCGCGTACGCCGACAATGAGGCTGGCTCTGTTGCACACATTCTCCTCCCCAATCACGATATCGGTCATTGGCAGCCATGACGACTTAAATAAACAGTTAGCTTGGACATTGAACAGCCCATAGAAGGCGATGCGGATCGCCAGTGAAACAGCACGTCATTTGCCATAGATTAGGTCTCGAAATCCTAAAGTGCATACAATTACAACAATAACCAAAAATCTATATGCGTGATGAATTGTCAACGAGCACACAAACGACTGGTTGCCGTAGTCACAGTCAGCAAATGTAAGTCCATTACTAAAACCTGTATATTTTCGCTCACGAAGAACCCGAAATTGGTGGATTTGGTTCGGGCAAGAAAATCGGTTGGTCGTTCAAAAAACGAATAGTTTCTTGCGACAGTTCGACCATCGCGAACGAAAGTATCTCCACGGCATGCATACTCAGAGACGAGGACTTGTCAAAAGAAAAGGAGGCGTTCGCCGGGAGAGGTGTATTGAAGGTCTGACGTTTGGAGTAGAACTTTCTTCTACCCATCTTCTACCCATCCCAGGAAGATGGGTAAAAGAAATGTCTACTCGAAAAGCCAGAAATCCAATACACCTCTCCTGGTGAAAGTCACATTTTCTAGGCAGTATGTTATAACCGACAAAGGCAAGGGAGACTGGAATGCCCATTTCTGGCTTATTAGCCGTCGTCAGGCAATCATACCCAACCCCAAAGCCTCGAACTCGCGACCTGTTAGTTAAATGTCCACGTCCCTAACCAATGGGCTACCTTTTCTTTTGATATGGCACCTGGGAATCGCATTTCTACTAGTACGATGACTTCAGCATGAAACAGTTCACAGTGATTGTATGCTTGCTCGGAGATTATCGCCCTCTCTTGTCTCTTTCTCACCTGAGCCCAGTGTCAAGACAAAGTTGAGAAGATCAGATTCGGCCAGGGGTGCATTGGCTAAGGAAGATAAGCAACCTACCTACGTACGATAAACCAGCTTTTCAAACATAACGTAGAACGATTCGGATCCCAGTTGAAGGTGAGTGCCATTGAGACCACAGTACGAAGAAGTCCTTGCAGCCTGATTCTCCGTCCTGAGAAGAGAACCGAGTTATCCCGTCAGTTGATAGCCTTCCAAGCCATGACTTTTAGCTCACCGTGGCAAATTCAAGCGCGTCAGATTCTTTACAATAGGGAATATACACTGAAAGGCGTGTCGCAGAGGCGCAGTCCTCGAAAATGGCCTCTCTCTCTGCGTCTTCTTTCAGACCTCGGCAGACTATTTGAGACAGTCAGTCACCTGATGTTTAGATTGGGCGCAGTGGCCGGTAGAGCCAACTCAGCCCGTCTGCGCGTGCCACGCACGATCCGCCCACACACAACACCAAATTTTCGCAAACAGTGATGGGTAGCGCGGATCTCGAATGCACGAGAGTACCATAGGGGCCACACGAATAAAAGGCCATTCAGATTCGGTCCACTACTAGACCCACTCAATACCAACGCACACAGAGCTGACTGCGAAGCCCCAGTGGTACCGTCTGTTGGCAGCATTGCGAGACACGAAGTTGTGCGTGTCATAATAGCTCCAAATGCGTCGAAATTACTGAAGTGAAGAATCAGTTAAAATGCCGTGAGAATGGAGTCTGCAGAGTCGGATTCACTTTCTCTCTCTCTCTCTCTCTCTCACTCTCTCTCTCTCTCTCTCTCTCTCTCTGTCCTCTCCCAGGCCCCAGTTGACTTCCCTAACCGACCAATCTGCTGTCGTTAAGACCGATGATCTCGGTGGGATTCGAACTCAAGACAGCAGGGGGAAGGTTTGTATGCAGCCAACGCTCTGGCCACCTGGGCTACAAGGCCCCACCGTGTGGCGTGAGCCGTGTGGGAGAGGTAAGGAGGAATTTTGCCAAAGACATGTCAAGAAGATTCAGGCTGAACCAGTAGAACCAGAAGTTCAGTTGCCTGACCCTCTAAATTCACTCACCCACTGATTTCGAATAAAAGCAGTAGACGCAGCAGGACTACAGCATTCAGATGATTCGACATAATTAGTAGATTTGTCACTGATCGCAGCTGACAGTGGCTAATGCGACAACTGGTAGACTGTCCGCACTTGAGTAGGTAGTTGCATGTCGAAAGTCAGATTTTCACGTGTACCGAAAGAGGAATTGCCTTACACTTTACTATCCCCTCTCTACGAACTCCTTCGTCCCATCCGCCGTACTCTTTGTGCATGTTTGTCGGGCATGTATCGAGCATCTGTCTCAGGATCCCGACTGTTCCCAAATTAATCAGTTCCATGTCGCACTCATAACCGACGCTACACTGATTTAATGAATTCGTGTAAGGTCACCGTCTGTTGGCTGACCAGTCGTCGCGTTCATTGTCATTTGATCCCCGCTGTCATTTTGTCCCCTAGTTTTCTGTGAGTCGGACATCGTAGCCTATACTGATTTTTGGGAACTTCGCAGTCCCTTTCACATTGTTTTCACGCGTTTCGAACAGCAAAATTAAAATCAAGGACCATTTGCGAGATAGTTCATTTTAAATGTAGTTACCATGTACAAAATCTCTCCAGGTATGGAAGAAATTATAAACTCATATTCGGTATTTTCGATTTAACAATAAGCAAGGAAATATGAGCCCGCGAGGATTAAAGGGATACTTCGAAGTCAAGTCATGCAACCACTTTCTAGTCCTGATTGCTGATTGCAAGTTAAAAGCTATCTATCACGGTCACGAAAGAGCCCTTTTGTCAAGTGAATGTGCTACTTCATTACTTATGAAATAGGCCTTATCTGACATACTTAAGCGCTAGGTTGAGTCATATCCATTCGACACTTTTAGTGTATTCATTGGACGCAAGTAAAAGTAGTTCTTTGTTTGAGGACATCTAATAAACACTAGCAGGACACAGAAATAGGTCCCTTTCCGTATTACAAATAATCACGTACCAAATCTCACAAGGGACTAGAGTCAGCGTAAAAAATTTGGGTTAGGGTTAGTGTTGGGTTAATGTTTAAACACAGGAACAGGTACCGCCCCGAAAGTCAGCGCAAGGGTATTTGCCATGAATGGGGTTACTTATCATCGTGTCCTGCGGAAAAATTCTGTAGGCGGTGACACGATGGTGCACAGTTTTGATAACAGCTACAGAAGAAGGGTTTACAATCTTTAGATAAGATTGTTAAATGATTCCCGACAAAGACGAAACAAGCATAGACAGCAGAATTAATTGGAACCAATAAAGTTCGCCGCGGCTTATCAAGCGGCGATTGAGATGCGCCATTGAAAGAACATACAATTCAACTGAACTCAAATTCTGCAGCCCCACTAAGGCTAACCAAGTTACACGGGCAAAGGGTGTACTTGGGGATGCAAGTATATTGGGCGAACGCAAAGGCATTTGGCAGCCAGGTCATTTGAGCACCCGCCTAAATAACTTCTAAAGCAGGAAAATAAAATTCCACGGTTTTCTATCAGAAAGCGCCTCCTAGATAGCGGTCATTCGGTTGGCCCCAAAACATCGTTTTGAGCATTAGTTCGGGCACAAAGAACTCGGATATTGCTCTACCTGAAGGCAGCCTACATATGGCGGGAGGGACCCAACCTTTACAAACAGTTAGACCTCGTGGTCAATCTAAGCTTACCCTGGTAAATCTGAGACCTTTGGTTGTCGAAATCCATCTGTGTGTTAACTTTCCCGTTTTCTTTCCTCTGTCGCGTCTTTCAAGTTACCATTTTATTGATTAGTCTGCGTACAGTATACGGTGAAGTTGCTGTTTTATATTGATTTTCACTGTGAAGTTCAAATCTCTGCATTTTTCCCATATGTTATCTCTGTTATGAAATGGCAGGCTGCAGTGGATAAGTCGTCGCGACATTTATTGGTTCTACTGAATTCTGCTGTCCACGCTTGCTTCAAATTCATCCCGATGAACTATTGCTTGAGGAGATGAAACACATTTCGTAGTAGCATTTTTAATTAAACAGTGTGCCGTAAAAGACTTAAAGATCATTTTTTTGATTTTATTATTCATCTTCATACCGGTTTCAACGAGTCTGTTTATAAATTCGTTGACAAATTTAATTAGGACGCCTCCACTCAGATTTTGTTTTCTAAGCTGCCCTTTCATTGGACAATGGGGCTGGTTTTCATGTACACAGTCCCCCCCCCCGTAATCACGATATCAGTCATTGGCAGCCATGACGACTTTCATAAACAGTTGGGTTGGTACGTAACAGATCTGACTTGAGAACAAATGGTATATCGATAAAAAGCAAATTTAGCCCTAGGCGGGTTGAGCGGGGGAAAAAGCAAAATTGGGCAAAACACAACCTCGATGGTGCGCGGAAATAAGAATTTCGAGAACATTACATTTTTCTGTTCAAACGCATTACATTTTGACAAGGCAACGTCTTGCCTTATATAAGGAGCCCATGAGAACTGCAATGCACGTGCGTCGCTTTCGGTAACCAAGTGCTGGTGCCAATTATATATCTTAAACAAAAGTGTACTTTGCAACAACCACTACTTATGGTTATCGTCTATTAGCTGACTAGCCGTCACGTTTGGCAT